GGGTCTAGCAAAGTGTTGCCAGGGGGGCAGGTAGGGCATTAACAGGGAGAGGGGGGCACAAAGAAATACTTTCTTATTCTCATTTAAAATGTCTAATTCTTGTCTAAGGTTCTTCTTCCCCTCAGTAGCTTTTCCTTCTCACTGTCTTTTATTATGATTTTTATTCTTTATCATTGTTACTTCTTTTATACTAACAATATATTTAATTGTTAGATTGCTTTTACGTCAGCTGTGTTTAAATGTGCTACAGAAATGATCTGAGCTCACCGACGTCTTCATGAACTTTGCTGGTCGTCCTTCTTTCATTTGGATTTAAAGCTGTTTTGTTGCTTCTCTTAAAATTTTACATCTTTTGATATTTTAGCTGCAGTGCTCTCCATGTGTCCCATATGTGTTTACCTTTTTTTTGCACATTATACACATTATTCTGTTTCTATTTATTTGCTATGATTTGCTATTTGTCATGTAACATTGCTGCTCTCACTGTCCCAGGTTTGTTTGTGGAAGCGTTCTGTTGCCGGCAAATTAAACATTTGGCAAATTAAGGTAAATACATAGTTACACGTTTCTTTATATTTTATTGTGTTACAGATTAAGTCATTTGTTCATACTTTGTTCTGTCTTCTCAGTCTTCACGTGGGTCAGGTGTGGGAAACGCCCGCCTAGCATTTCCTCATTTTAAAGTCCTGATGATGTCACACATGACATCAGCAGGTCGAACCAAGTGGAGGGGTTTCTTTTGTTTGTGTCAAGGTCTGAAGGGATTTGTTGAATCTTTTTCTTTTCATTAATACGGCCATTTAGTTGTGTAAATATTAGAAGTGTGAGGTTTTGTGTCTTTTTTAATCATCTGTAGAGTTTTAGATCCCTCAGTGTGAGTCAGTGCTACTGGCTGGGCTAATTGAACGGAAATTGATGGCCCTATTTACAGCCAGTCTCTACCAGAGAGAGGAGAGGTGTGTTAACAGAGCCATGGTCTGTTGAGTTTTGTTAACTGAGTTACTTTGGGGGGAAGTTTTGTTAAGTTACATTAAATTGAGTTCACTGTAAATAAATTGCTCACCTCTGGAAACCTGAAATGTCTACATAGTCTGCTTTCTTGCCTCCTTCCACAAATCTACTTCTGAACTTGTTCAGTAACCACTGTCCAAAGTGGAGTTTGTATATTTTAAAAGCATGAAGAAAAGAAAAAGGATAAATATAAAAAGTCAGGGAGGAGCTGCATTAAATGTGGTTTTCAGGGAAATCTGTGAAACAATAGTAGAAAAGCAGTGATGCGAACCCTGCAGCCCATTCAGAATGTATTAAATCAAGACTACAACTTCTAACCTGAGGATGTCCTTCTCTACCTCTGGAGCAGGCCTTCCTCATCCTCCCAGCTGCCTCTTAGCCTTCAGATATCTACAGTTTTAATAATGCCCTGTAACTGTGAATATCTGAAACAGGGTTATTGCTGTGAGGCATGAGAGGGCATGCAGACGTGTTTTAACGACGAAGATCTCAGACGTCTGACGTACGTTCACTCGCACCACTGTAAAATGTAAACGAGGGTCTCTGAACCTCCTGACTCAGTCGGCCAGAGGTCAACGCTGTGAGTCAGAGCTGAGTCACGAGTCCATGCCGCTCTGACCAATCAGAGCACAGAGAGACGGTGCTGGAGGGCCTTACAGAGCTGATGGTAAAAACCAGCTGGGGTCTTCTAAAAGATGACCGAACATTTGGAGGTCTGCCAGTTTAAAGTCTTTTAATCGAGCTTCTCAGACGCAGGATACTCAATCTGTCCATGTTAGCATGCATGCAACTGCTAGCTAGCATTAGCTGAGGGTTGGATTTGAGCCTCCAAATCAAAGAATTCCTTCACGAATCAAAAATCAAATCTGATGGTCTTTGTTTGAGAAAACTGTCTTTGTTCTGGCTAATGTTGGCTAACAGAGTACTTAATACCCAAGATAGCAGCTAGCTGGCTAATACTGTCTCTGTGTGAAGCTACATCAGCGTTAGCGTTCATTTTTCAGGGGTTGGGTCTATAACCTGGTGTCTTGAGTTTATTTTGTATTTTTGTTTTTCTTATGTTAGATTGCTTTAATGTTAAGTTTTTGTGTTATTTAGTTAGTTAGGGTTTATTCAAGCGATTTATTCCAGTTTGTGTTCCTTCCATGTCTCATGTTTCTGAGTCTTTTCCTGTCTTCTGTGTCTCTCTTGTCCTCTATGTTTAATGTTTAATTATGCTTTCGTCTCCCTTATCTGTCCCCATGTCTCTCCTTGTGTTTCTCCCCAGTCTGTCATGTCTGCGTTTCATAATGTTTCCTGTTTTATTTTGAAAGTCCTGTGTTTCCATGTTCAGCATGTTTAGTTTTACTTCCCTTGTTGCATCAGGTTCATTTGTGCCAGCTGTGTTTCCCAGGTGTTTCCTTCTGTGTATTTAAGTCTCCTTCTGTTCGGTGTCGGGTCGTTCGTGCACTTCAAGTCACAGGATTATTTTCGCGCTTGGGTTCATGTTCACAGTTTTCATGGTTAATCCTGGCTTCCTCAGTTTAGGTTATCATGTAATTTGGGCTTTTGTTTCTACGTAGTTCTGCCCGTCGTGTTTTCCAGCTTTTGCGTCAGCACCACAAACACAGTTTATGTTTATGTTGTCAATTTGTGATTAGTGAACTGTATTTTGTCATGAAAGGACCAAAGATTTTCAGGGCACAAAAACACATTTAATACCTCAGTAAACATGTTCAGTTGGTTTTCCATCGCTCGGGCAACGTCGCTTCCCCAGAAAGGAAAACAACTCTGAAAGTTTACTTTGTCTTTATAATCGAGATTAAAATCTGAGCACTTAATAAATCTTAGATCATCTTTGAGATGCTGATGAAACACTGACACTGGAGTCACACTGATTCATACCTGTTTTGATCATAATTGATTGATCATCTATTAACTGTTGAACCAGTGATATCAATGAGGCTGAAAAGACGATAATATACAGTTGACCGTGCAGGTATGTATATGTATATGCAGGCCTCCATGCAGGTCTGGTGTTTATGACGGAGGCTTGTCTGTCATCACTGTGGAGGGTTTTGGTCCACTCGTCTTTGCTGCTTCAGCTTATTCAGCTTTGCAGCATTCGTGTACGCACAGCCTCGCAGGTTGAGGTCTGGACTCTGTCCTGCTGATGACCCAGTTTTCTCCAAGTTCTCTCAGTGACTGCAAGACGCCCAAACCCTGATCCCTCCACCGCCGTGCTGACAGCTATTGTGAGGTGTTTGGTTTCCTCCAAACGTGGTGCTGTGCATTATAAACAAACAGCTTCGCTTTGGTCTCATTTCTAGGTGCAGCTCTGCAAAACAAATTTATTTTTGCTTTCTCCTGCAACCCAAACAATCCATCCTCGTTCAGCCTTTGTCTAATTGTGCTGTCATGAACTTTAACCTGCTAACTGCAGAGTCTGGTTTTGGGGTTTTGTGGAATTGTGTTTACACACCTGAATGTTCCAGACCTTCAAAATGCCAAAAACTTCAGCTTTTACAGAGACGATCACACTAATGGTGATCAGTTAATCAGTGCAATTGATTAGCAGCACCTGGCTGCTGCTCACCCTCTTAACTCTTGTGGAAGCAGTAAGGATGGACGCTTTCACAGGACTGCACAGTCAGTCAGCAGGTGCCTCGGGTCAGGAGAGGTGGGGCCGGTTATTCTCAGTTACTGTTTCATTTTGCAGTTTTCTCTGGTCTGAGTTTCAGCTCTGTAAATAAACGACTCACCTGCCTGACTTCCCCTCACTGATATTTGACTAAGACTACATAAAGCAAGTCGCCTTTCATGGTTTTAAATTAATACGTAACACAGTTTCACAATGAAATGCAGAAATTTCCTTCAGCAACACTGGAAATGATCAGTCGGAAACCAGAATTCAAACAGGATTAAGTCAGTCTCAGTAACAACAAACAAATGTCCCGCTCAAGGTCAAATATCAGGACTTACAGAAGATTAAAATAGTTAAAAATGGCAGCCAACAGAAATAATCTATAGTTCTGATGCTTATCAGATGAAGACAGACTGAAAGCTTCTGTCGGCACTGTGAAGTCTGAGGGATCTTCCAGGAAGGGGGACGCTGCTTTCCAGACATCTGATTGGCCAGTGGGTATGGGTTTTGTTCCTGCAGGTCTCTAATCTCAAACATAACTAACAAACAGACTAAAAATTCATAACATGACAGGTTGGTCTAATTTCAGCTGATCGGTTAGTCATTTATTGGTGATGTCCTTCACTGTTGTTGAAACATGATTTGTGTTTGTTCCTGTTCAGAGTCTTCAGCAGCGAGTAAGCGACAGCGACCGCAGCCTGTGTGTCACACTGTCAGCACTGTGTGTTCGGACTGTTTAACAGTCAGGACTGCTGACAGCGGCTGAAATATTCACCGTTTCATTTCATCTGTCATCACTGAGCTCTGTGAGCTTTAAAGTGGAGTTCACACAAAATACTCCATCCTGTACTTCTGTCAGTCATTCAGAGGTAAAAAACTTTCTTTACTCATGCAGCTGATTCATAAAACCAATTATAACCAAAGGAAATCCACCAAATATCAGCCTGGAGCTCCAACCGTGGGGAGCTTCCCAGCAAACATGGTAGGACCAGCGATGGTATCGTCCCAGTACAAACTGGTCTCTGTATCACTGCGAGAGCCGAAACACAGATGAATGACTGTGACCTGTTTTTATATTTAAACCACACTTTGAGGCCATTAAACTGACCTTACATCTAAATTCTACTAGTTGCCATGGTAAACTGACCATGTCTGGACTGTCACAGGTCAAAGGTTATTTGATGTCCAGCAGATGGTGAAATTCCTTCTTTGTCATCAGCACGATTTTCATTTTGGAAATCTTTATGAAGACTGGACATCAAGAGAAGCTGTTCATCGACGTGTTTATATCGATGTTTGGTTGGTGTTCGAGATTTTACAACAACCTGCTGGTAAGTTTGTGTGTGTGTGTGTGTGTGTGTGTGTGTGTGTGAGTGTGTGTGTGTGTGTGAGAGTGTGTGTGTGTGTGTGAGAGTGTGTGTGTGTGTGTTTGCAGACTCAGCAGAAAAGTTGCAGTTGTAGTCAAACTGTTGTCACGACTGTGAAACCACAAAAACAACTTCCTGAAGAAGTGATGACAGTTTCTACACAACAACAGTGTCAGAGAGAAACCCACCAATCAGACGATTCCACCCGAGCAGCACTCAGTGACAGTGGGGAGGAAGAACTCCCTTTTAACAGGAACAATCTGGGGATGTTAATGAATTAAATTATTTATTTGTTTTTTTCGATGTAAAGATTAATTTAAAAACTAATTAAATTAATAACATATTTATGAAACATCCAACAGGACTTCAGACAGAAAACATTACAAAAATTACAATTTAAAACTTTAAAACTATCAAAAATATGAAAACACCTTTAAAAACAAACAAACAAACAAACAAAAACATGGTGGGCAACATGGAAAAAGCCAAAGAGACACTTTTAAATAAAAGAGCAAATGAAACGTGGGATTTTTTACAAGAATATTAAAGTTTTATTTTTTAAAACTTCACCATGTTTGAGTTAAATCACAGCTGCTAAACATCCTCCTACGATACAGCTTTAAACATGAGAAGAAACATGAAAGGAAGAAAGAAATTAAAACATGTAAAAAACAGATGGAGAAACGTGTAAAATTCTGAATTCAGAAAAAGTAAAAATACTCCAAAGATTACAGTTTTAGGTCATTTGAAGACTTCCTCCTCCTGATGTCTCTCTGCTGTCTCTTCTGCCCCCTGCTGGTTTGTTGTCACATTGCAGCAGACTTTCACCTTGGAGGAGGCTGAAGGGCAGTGTGTGTGTGTGTGTGTGCATGTGCGTGTGTGTGCATGTGTGTGTGTGTGC